AGACAGTCTCACTCTGTTGCCCAGGCTGGAGTACAGTGAGTGGTGTGATCACAGCTCACTGCAACCTTCACCTCCTGGGTTCAAGTACTTCTCCTGCCTCAGTCTCCTGAGCAGCTGGGATTACAGGTGCAGGCCACCACACCCAGCTAATTTTTTTGTATTTTTGTAGAGATGGGGTTTCACCATGTTGATCAGGCTGGTCTCGAACTCCTGACCTCAAGTGATCTGCCCTCCTCAGCCTCCCAAAGTGCTGGGATTATAGGCATGAGCCACCATGCCTGGCCTGTACCAGCCTTCTGATACCAGGTTTAATTATTCTTATTCACACTGTAGTACCTTAAAGTCATTTGAATTTGTATTTTTAAATGATAATAAAAGTCTGTATTATTTTTGTCATCCAAAAGTACTTTTCCTGGGTCAGTAAAACCTGATGACAAAAAACAAATAAGAAAAAAAAGTATTTTTCCTACTATGATAGAAAGACTATATCAGATAGAACTGGCCAGGTGCAGTGGCTCACACCTGTAATCCCAACACTTTAGGAGGCTAAGGCAGGAGGACCACTTGAGGCCAGGAGTTCAAGACCAGCCTGGGCAACAAAGTGATACCTCGTCTCTACAAAAAAATAAAAAATTTAGTCGGCCAATGTGGTATGTACCCATAGTTCTAGCTATGTAGGAGGCTGAGGCAGGAGGATCACTTGAGTCCAGGAGTTTAAGGCTGCAGCGAGCCGAGGTTGCACCACTGCACTCCAGCTTGAGCAACAGAGCAAGACTCCATCTCAATAAATAAATAAATAAATATATTTTTAAAAGAATATATCAGGCTGGGCTCAGTGGCTCATGCCTGTAATCCCAGCACTTTGGGAGGCTGAAGTGGGCAGATCACTTGAGGTCAGGAGTTCAAGACCAACCTGGCCAACATGATGAAAAACCCTGTCTCTATTAAAAATACAAAAATTAGCTGGGCATGGTGGCATGCACCTGTAGTTCTAGGTACTTGGGAGGCTGAGGCAGGAGAATCCCTGGAACCCAGGAGGCAGAGGTTGCAGTGAGCTGAGATCGTGCCACTGCACGATCCTGGGTGACAGAACGATACTCTGTCTCAAAAAAAAAAAAAAAAAAAAAAAAAGGATACATCAGACAGGCATATGATCATAACGTCATTTTGCGGCTCAATCAGAGAGGCTGGGCAATTTAACAGTCCTCATCTGTTAAATGGGTACAATGATATACCCACACACAGTTTTGTTGTGAGGATTAAGTGAGATAATGCATGATGATGTGCACTGCAGTGCTTAACACATAGCAATACTCAGTAAATGACAACTCCTAATTTACAATCCCCTGATGTATAGTAAACCCTGGGAAACTGGCAAGAAGCTTGAGAAAGCTCTCCATCAGAAATGCCTTGCACTTTGGCTGGGCATGGGGGCTCATGCCTGTAATCCCAGCACTTTGGGAGGCCAAGCTGGGCAGATCATCTAAGTTCATGAGTTTGGGACCAGCCTGGCCAAAATGGTGAAACCCCATCTCTACTAAAAATGCAAAAAAAAAAAAAAATTAGCGTGGTATGGTGGCAGGTGCCTGTGATTCTAGCTACTAGGGAGGCTGAGACAAGAGAATCACTTGAACCCAGGAGGCGGAGGTTGCAGTGAGCCAAGATCGCACCATTGCACTCTGGCCTGGGTGACAAGAGTGAAACTTGGTCTCAAAAAAAAAAAAAGAAATGCCTGGCACTTAGATGGGAGATGTCACTGATGTGCTGCATCAGTGGGACTGGGAACAGGAGGATTTTACATCATGAGTTAATGTAACATATTTAGCTTTTCAGTCATTTATTTTCTGATTGTCTCTATTCTCACAACAGCCCTATGAAGTAGGTAAGACAAATGCTTTGACCTGGCTCTTCATTTGTGAAGAAATATGGTAATGAGATAATAAATCCGTTCATAACCAGTTGCGTTGGCTCACGCCCATAATCCCAGCACTTTGGGAGGCCAAGACAGGCGGATTACGAGGTCAGGAGATTGAGACCATCCTGGCTAACATGGTAAAACCCTGTCTCTACTCAAAAATACACACACACAAAAAAAAAATTAGCTGGGTGTGGTTGTGCACATCTATAGTCCCAGCTGCTTGAGAGACTGAGGCAGGAGAATCACTTGAACCCAAGAGGCAGAGGTTGCGGTGAGCCAAGATCATGCCACTGCACTCCAACCTGGGCAACAAAGTGAGACTCCACTGCAAAAAAAATAAATAAATAAGTTCATGTGTTCAACACAGGTTTATGGAGCATCTGTGTACCTGACATTGCTAGTGGCTGGGAACAGAGCAGTGAACAGATATCTGCCCTCATGGTCCATATGATCTGCTAGTGTAAGACAGGCAGTCGGACAAATAAACGACTCTAGTATCTTAGGCAGAAAGAAGTGTGAATGAAAAACTGAATCAGAGAAGTGGAGAGAGTTGTGATTTTAGATGAGGTGGCCAAGTGGTTTGTTTGTTTTTTTTTTTTTTTTTTGAGATGGAGTCTCTCTCTGTTGCCCAGGCTGAAGTGTACTGGCGCAATCTCAGCTCACTGCAACCTTCGCCTCCTGGATTCAAGCAATTTTCCTGCCTCACCTCAGCCTCCCAAGTAGCTGGGATTACAGGCCCGCACCACCACGCCCGGCTGATTTTTGTATTTTTTAGTAGAGATGGGGTTTCACCATGTTGGCCAGGCTGGTCTTGAACTCCTGACCTTGCGATCCACCCGCCTCGGCCTCCCAAAGTGCGGAGATTACAGGTGTGAGCCACTGCGCCCAGCAGGAGCAGGTGGTATTTTAGCAAAAGTCTGAAGGGAAGTAAAGCAGTGAGCCGTAGGCATATATGTTAGGGGAGAGGGTTCCAGGCAGAGGGAACAGCAAGAGCAAGGGTCCTGGTGGGGGAACACGCCTGGCAGTCGAGGAAGGGCAAGGAGGCAAACGTGGCTGAGGGAGGAAGGTGAGGTGGGGAAGGTGGGAAGTGATAGGAGCTGAGCCGTAAGTTGGGAGGGGAAAGAGAACTCAGATCATACCGGGCCTTGTAGATCATCGTCAGGACTTACTTTTTGCCTTTTACTCAGAATGACCAGTGGGATTTGTGAGAGAAAGTTTTCCTTCTTGCTGTGTGTTCTATTCTAGTTTGATTCAGGAACCCTGAGTGCAGTAGGCAGGGGCCTTTGCCCAACCTCAAGTGGAGATGTGTTCCACAGCAGGAAGGCTCGAGTAACTTGCACCATTCCTCTTCACTATGTTCAAGATGCCCCTCCGAATGAGGACGGCGAGTGGTGCCCGCTGGAGCGTACAGGGCTTGGAGCCAGAGATCCCTGACTTTTCCTTCTTCACACCTGACCAGGCCTTCCAAAGGCCTGGGAAACTGCCCTGAGGGCTGTAGGCTTTGAGGGCTGGCCCGGGGAACAGAGACAGCTGGTATTTTTCCCAGGGGTAGGGGAGTTTGCCTCCACCAATTCCAACTGGTCTCTGTTCCCTAGAAGCACAATGAGGATTTCAAGCCACTCTTTTTTTTTTTTTTTTTTTTTTGAGACCCCCATCTCTCACTCTGTCACCCAGGCCGAGTGCAGTGGCCCAATCATAGCTTACTGCAGCCTCAACCTCCTGGGCTCAAGTGATCCTCCCACCTCATCCTCCTAAGTAGCTGGGACTATAGGTGCCACCACACCCAGTGAATTTTTTTTTTTTTTTTTTGAGACGGAGTCTTGCTGCGTTGCCCAGGCTGGAGTGCAGTGTCACTGTCAGCTCACTGCAACCTCTGTCTCCCAGGTTCAGGCGATTCTCCTGCCTCAGCCTCCAGAGTAGCTGGGACTACAGGTTCTCACAACGATGCCCAGCTAAGTTTTGTATTTTTAATAGAGACGAGGTTCCACCATATTGGCCATGCTGGTCTCGAACTCCTGACCTTGTGATCTGCCTGCCTCGGCCTCCCAAAGTGCTGGGATTACAGGTGTGAGCCACCAGGCCCAGCCTAATTTTTTATTTTTATAGAGGTGGGGTCCCACTGTGTTGCCCAGGCTGTCTCAAACTCTTGGGCTCAAGCAATTGGTTTTCCCATCTTGGTCTCCCAAAGTGCTGGGATTACAGATGTGAACCACTGTGCCTGGCCCAAGACATTCTCCTTTATCCACTCACTAATCCAGGGCCTTCTCAGCAAAGCTGCCAGGATAAGCCACACAAAGAAGTCAAAGTCAGACACAGGCAGAAAAACAAAGGGATTCATGGGATTGTACATCTTACTATGCAGGCAATATATTCGAAAGCCAAATCAAAAAGTCTCCTGATCCATCTGCATCCCCTCTGTTAATGGGAGCATTCTAAAATTGGTAGTGGAGGCGGGGTGCAATGGCTCACACCTATAATCCCAGCACTTTGGGAGGCCAAGGCAGGAGGACCCCTTGAGGCCAACCTGGGCAACCTAGCGAGATCCTGTCTCTACAAAAAATTATAAAACTAGCCAGGTGTGGTGACACACGCCTGTCTACTTGGAAAGCTGAGGTGGGAAGGTTGCTTGAGCCCAGGAGTTCAAAGTTGCAGGGGGCTAGGATAGCGCCCCTGCACTGCAGCCTAGGTGACAGAGTGAGACCCTGTCTCTAAAAAAACCAAAATAATGCTGGTGGTGGAGAACTCCTATTTTGGAGGAGCAGCTCCCTCCTTAGGCCACTAGGCCCCCATTTAATGCACCAGCATGGCCAAATTGCTTAAGTAGGAAGGGCAGGTTTTCCCAGGGAAATGGAAGGTTAGAATGACACAGACACAGGGCAACTTGACTGTGGTTGTGCTTTTCACCTTCAAAGACTACCCCACCTTGATTTTGGAACTGAGATGGAGACCATGTTTACTTATTCTAGTCAGCCCCCTTTGATACCATCTCCTAGATTTTCCAGACTTCAAACTTTTGATCTGCTGAGTGTCTTTATTGTTCTTCACACTGAAGTACCAAGCTGAAGTGGTCGGCCTAACTTACCGAAAGATATTCGTCAATTTGTTTACGACCCTGTTCCACAGTGAATTCACCGTGAGTCATCCACGTGATGTTTTTCATAGGGTTTTGCTCATCTGCAAAAACAAAGGTGTGAATTTGTTAGTTGCCTGGTAGCGTGGCACTATATAATGAGACAATTATTTAGGCATCCAAACAAATGGGATTACTACCTTCCAGAAACTTCACAGCATAATTGATGACATCCTCAACCAGAGCTAGAGCTACTCGAGTCAATTCATCTTCGTAGTCTTGTGTGTTCGTCTTGTCTTGTGTATTCGGCATTGTTTGGCTTACGGCTTCGTTATCCTCATCCATTGCTTTCTGGCTTGTTGAATTTTGAGTCTCACTCATTTTCTTTTTCCTGGGGAAGAAAGAAACCTCAAGAAGTAATTCACTGCATGCATGTGTATGTACACACATGTGAACACACTCATAGAAGTACAGACCATCTCTTGAAGAATCACAAGAGAGAGGAAGCACTTGTTGCCTCTAGGGAGGGGATGGGGGATTTAAGGGGAGGAGTGAGACCTGTGCCTGGCTGCTGAGATCTACTTTTCCTGAAAACCAAGGATTCTCATATTCTCAAAACCATAATGACTTAAATCAAAATGTAGTAGAAAAAAAGTAGCACTTCTTTGGAGTGCTAAGAATATTGATTCCCAGTTGAATCTTTAATAAGAAACCCAATCCCCTGCTAGGAGCAAGTGAGGGCACCTGGCTCTTTTTAAATGATGTTAAAATAAAGTGGGTGTGGTGACGTGTGCCTGTAATCTCCGCTATTTAGGAGGCTGAGGCAGGAGGATAGCTTGTGGCTATCAGTTTGAAACCAGCCTCGGCAACTGAGACCTCCCTGCTCCTTAACCCATCTTAACTTTTTTTTTTTTTTTTTTTTTGAGACGGAGTTTCACTCTAGTTACCCAGGCTGGAGTGCAATGGCGCGATCTCGGCTCACCGCAACCTCCGCCTCCTGGGTTCAGGCAATTCTCCTGCCTCAGCCTCCTGAGTAGCTGGAATTACAGGCACATGCCACCATGCCCAGCTAATTTTTTGTATTTTTAGTAGAGACGGGGTTTCACCATGTTGACCAGGATGGTCTCAATCTCTTGACCTCGTGATCCACCCGCCTCAGCCTCCCAAAGTGCTGGGATTATAGGCTTGAGCCACCGCGCCCAGCTCCATCTTAAGTTTTAGAAAGAAGTATAAAGATGCTGGGGGTTTTTTAGACAAAGTCTCGCTCTGTCGCCCAGGTTAGAGTGCAGTGGCACAATCTCAGCTCACTGCAACCTCTGCCTCACGGGTTCAAGCGATTCTCCTGTCTCAGCCTCCCGAGTAGCCGGGACTACAGACGTGTGCCACCATGCCTGGCTGAATTTCGTATTTTTAGTAGAGACGGCATTTCACCATGTTGGCCAGGCTAGTCTTGAACTCCTGACCTCATGATTCACCTGCTTCAGCCTCCCAGTGTGCTGGGATTACAGGAGTGAGCCCCTGTGTCCTGCTGACACCTGGCTATTTTTTTTTAATAGGTCTCAGTATGTTGCCCAGACTGATAATAGCTTTTTTTTTTTTTTTTGAGACAGCGATTTGCTCTTGTTACCCAGGCTGGAGTGCAATGGCGCGATCTCGGCTCACCACAACCTCTGCCTCCTGGGTTCAGGCAATTCTCCTGCCTCAGCCTCCTGAGTAGTTGGGATTACAGGCACGTGCCACCATGCCCAGCTAATTTTTTGTATTTTTAGTAGAGACGGGGTTTCACCATGTTGACCAGGATGGTCTCAATCTCTTGACCTCGTGATCCACCCGCCTCAGCCTCCCAAAGTGCTGGGATTACAGGCTTGAGCCACCGCGCCCAGCTCCATCTTAAGTTTTAAAAAGAAGTATAAAGATGCTGGGGTTTTTTTAGACAAAGTCTCGCTCTGTCACCCAGGTTAGAGTGCAGTGGCACAATCTCAGCTCACTGCAACCTCTGCCTCACGGGTTCAAGCGATTCTCCTGTCTCAGCCTCCTGAGTAGCCGGGACTATAGACATGTGCCACCATGCCTGGCTGAATTTCGTATTTTTAGTAGAGACGGCATTTCACCATGTTGGCCAGGCTAGTCTTGAACTCCTGACCTCATGATTCACCTGCTTCAGCCTCCCAGTGTGCTGGGATTACAGGAGTGAGCCCCTGTGTCCTGCTGACACCTGGCTATTTTTTTTTAATAGGTCTCAGTATGTTGCCCAGACTGATAATAGCTTTTTTTTTTTTTTTTTGAGACAGAGATTTGCTCTTGTTACCCAGGCTGGAGTGCAATGGCGCGATCTCGGCTCACCGAAACCTCTGCCTCCTGGGTTCAAGCAATTCTCCTGTCTCAGCCTCCCGAGTAGCTGGGACTACAGGCGTGCACCACCACGCCCAGGTAATTTTTGTATTTTTAGTAGAGACGGGGTTTCACCATGTTGACCAGGATGGTCTCAGTCTCTTGACCTCATGATCCACCCGCCTAGGCCTCCCAAAGTGCTGGGATTATAGGTGTGAGCCACCGCGCCTGGCCTGATACTAGCATTTTTAAACTCAGTTTGCCTCTGCCCCAGTTCCCTGTTGTTGCAGCTGGAGATAGACAAGATCATCTGCTGGAGGACACAGAGCCTTTCCAGGCTGCCTACTCCAGAGCAGCAAGAGGCTATAGAGTGGGCAGTGAGGGGCGTAAAGGCCCTTAACACTAGAGAACTGGCTCTCCCTAGCCCATACTTAGGCCATGCCAATTTGGCCAGAGCAACTTACTATAAACTCTGTAGTTAAAGACAACTGCACAAAGGTTTCTGGGTAAATTGGTAATTTCAGTAGACTTTGGTGAGGTAGCCATATATTAACTTGATCCTTTAGAAAATTGTCCATTTGGGGCCAGGCATGGTGCCTCAGCCCTGTAATCCCAGCACCTTGGGAGGCCAAGGTGGGAGGATCACCTGAGGTCAGGAGTTTGAGACCAGCGTGGCCAACGTGGCAAAACCCCATCTGTACTAAAAATACAAAAATTAGCCAGGTGTGGTGGTGCATGTCTATAGTTCCAGCTACTCCGGAGGCTGAGGCAATAGAATCGCTTGAACCCGGAGGCGTAGGTTACAGTGAGCCGAGATTGCGCCACTGCACTCCAGCCTGGGTGACAGAGCGAAACTCCATCTCAAAAAAAAAAGAAAAGAAAATTGCCTGTTTGGTAACCTGGACATTCAGTAACTTGGCTTTCAGCAAATTGCGTATTGATAAATGGAGAAGTCGAATCTGTGACCTCCAACACTAAGCACATGGGGTGGGTGCTTTTCTAATGGAAGGACCTCCTCAAGACCTTCCCTGGGGAGCCTGTGCTCCAACAGGAGAGGGAAGATGGGGAACAGAGCCCAGGAAGCAGCTCAATTTTTACCCTCAAATGTCTGTGGGCACACATCATTCTTAAGCCCCCCTCCCACTGGCCTCTCCTATTTTTCTTCCCTCTCCTCCCCTCCCCCCCTCCCCTCCTCCCCTCCCCTTTCCTCCCTCTCCTCCCCTTCCCTCCCCTCCCCTTTCCTTCCCTCCCCTCCTGTCCCGTCCCGTCCTGTCCCCTCCCCTCCCGTCACCTCCCCTTCCCTCCACTCCCCTCCCCTCCTGTCACCTCCCCTTCCCTCCCCTCCCCTCCAGTCCCGTCCCCTCCTCTTCCCTCCCTTCCCGTCCGGTCCCCTCCCCTTCCCTCCCCTTCCCTCCCGTCCCATCGTCTCCCCTTCCCTCCCCTCACCTCCCCTTCTCAGAGGCCAGATAGGCAGGGTGGGTGGGGAGAGACAGGGGAATGGTGACGTTAGGGGTCTGGGTGATGAATACGGAGAACTACTGCAAGTCCTTTCTGTGGACTCCCCCACCCCTGAGAAACCCCAGTACCGGAGTAAGCAGATCTTCTTTGCTTGGAACCGGAGCAGTGGTAGGTAGCTGGGGATGTCTCCGAAGGATTCTCTCAGTAGCTTCTCTCAGATTGCCAGATGGAATGTTTGCAAGTGCTGCCAAGGAAACACCAATTTCAACCAATGGGAAGCAGAGCCTACATGTTTTTTACTGCTTATGTTAATAACAGAGGGCAAGATGGGAGGGGGTGAGGGAGGAAGGGGAGAGCCAATCACAGCAATTGCCTGACCGCAATCATAGGACCAAGCTGTAGTAGCTATACCTAGTTTCTTTTCAACAGGCTGTGAGATTGCAGGGCCATGCCAGGAACAGTGGTGATAAGCCTCACAGCTGGTATGTATCCAGCATCCCTAGATATGCCAGTCACTGTGTTAAGCCTTCGGTGTGTGAAGTCATTTACGCCTCACAATAGCATTATGAGGTAGGTATTGGTATTTGCATATTACAGTTGAACAGACTGAGGCACAGCAAGTACTGTCCCAAACTCAAACCCAAAGCTGTCTGACTTCATTGGCTGAGCTTTTACTTTTGCATTTCCAAATTCTGAAGTTAGGACTTCCCTTGTGTACTTGATTGCTTTGCAAACCAAAAAGTATCTGAAACAGGTCTCAATTTAGCAGTTTATTTTGCCAAAGTTAAGGACGTGTCTGGGAGACAGGTCTCTGCCTTTCTCCAAAGATGACTTTGAGGGCTTCAGTATTTATTTATTTATTTATCTAGAGACGGGATCTCACTCTGTCACCCAGGCTGAAATGCAATGGCACAGTCATAGCTCATCACAGCCTCAACTGCCTGGGCTCAAGTGATCCTCCCACCTCAGCCTCCCAGGTAGCTGGGACCATAGGTGTTCCACCACCACACCTGGCCAATTTTTAAATTATTTGTAGAGACAAGGTCTTGCTCTGTTGCACAGGCTGGTCTCGAACTCATGGGCTCCAGCAATCCTCCCGCCCCGGCCTCCCAAAGTGCTGGGGTTACAGGCATAACCCACCTCGCCTGGCCAGGCTTCAGTATTTAAAGGGGAAGTGCAAAGCCAGGTGCAGTGGCTCATGCTTATAATCCCAGCACTTTGGGAGGCCAAGAAGGGTGGATAACCTGAGGTCAGGAGTTGGAGACCAGCCTGGCCAACATGGTGAAACCCCATCTCTACTAAAAAGGCAAAAATTAGCTGGGCACCTGTAATCCCAGCTACTCAGGAGGCTGAGGCAGGAGAATCACTTGAATCCAGAAGGCAGAGGTTGCAGTGAGCTGAGATCGCGCCATTGCACTCCAGCCTGGGCAACAAGAACGAGACTCAATCTCAAAAAATAACAGTAGTAGGCCAGGCGCGGTGGCTCCCGCCTGTAATCCCAGCACTTTGGGAGGCCGAGGCAGGTGGATCACGAGGTCAAGAGATCGAGACCATCCTGGTCAACATGGTGAAACCCCATCTCTACTAAAAATACAAAAAAGTAGCTGGGCATGGTGGCACGTGCCTGTAATCCCAGCTACTCAGGAGGCTGAGGCAGGAGAATTGCCTGAACCCAGGAGGCGGAGGTTGCGGTGAGCCGAGATCGCGCCATTGCACTCCAGCCTGGGCAACAAGAGCGAAACTCCGTCTCAAAAAAAAAAAAAAAAAGTAATATATAATAAAGGAGAAATGCAAGCTTAGGGAAGGTATGGTCACATTATTGAATCCACATGTTGCAAGAGAAAAAGAGCAGGTAGGGGAATAATCAATTATGTATTCATCTCCTACTCAGTAAACAGCACTTTACATAAGATAAGGTAAACAGAGTAGCTATAGGTGGAGGAGATATTTAATCTTTTATGTGTAGCTGTCCGTTTAGGAACAAAAAGAGAGGAAGCTTCTTGCATGACTCAGCTTTCAGCTAAATTGTTTTTCCTTTTGGCAGAGTGAATTGGGGTCCCAAGTTTTTATTTTCCTTTCTTTCTTTCTTTTCTTTTCTTTCTTTCTTTTCTTTCTTTTCTTTTCTTTATTGCCTCTTTCTTTTTCTTTCTTTCTTTTCTTTCTTTTCTTTCTTTCTTTGTTCTTGTTGCCCAGGCTGGAGTGCAATGGGGCAATCTTGGCTCACTGCAACCTCCACCTCCCGGGTTCAAGCGATTCTCCTGCCTCAGCCTCCCAAGTAGCTGGGATTACAGGCATGTGCTACCACACCCAGTTAATTTTGTATTTTTAGTAGACACGGGGTTTCTCCATGTTGGTTAGGCTGGTCTTGAACTCCTGACCTCAGGTGATCCACCCGCCTCAGCCTCCCAAAGTGCTGGGATTACAGGTGTGAGCCACCACACCCAGCTTTATTTTCCTTTCACAGCTTTCAAAGATGTCTTTTATGAATCAAGGATGAGAGAGATATAGTGCTTATGAGCTTACACTCAGGAACAACTTAACATCTTTCTTTCTGAGTTTCCTTGTCTATAAAATGGGGTTAACAACAATGCCTATAAAATAGGAGTTTTTATGGGGAGCAAACCAGGTAATTCATGTGAAGACCAAGAACAATGCCTAATACATCATAATCTCTCTCTGTAATGATTAAATAGTCTTTCTATTTTTTTTAAATTATTTTGCTCATGTTGCCCAGGCTGGTGTTCAGTGGCATGATCTTGGCTCACTGCAACCTCCGCCTCCCAGGTTCAAGTGATTCTTCTGCCTCAGGCTCCCAAGTAGCTGGGATTACAGGCACCTGCCACCATACCCAGCTAATTTTTGTATTTTTAGTAGAGACAGGGTTTCACCATGTTGGCCAGGCTGGTCTTAAACCTGTGACCTCAGGTGATCCACCCGGTTTGGCCTCCCAAATTGTTATAGCGTGAGCCACCGCACCTGGCATCTTTCTTTCTTTTTTTTTTTTTGAGATAGGGTCTCACAATGTTTCCCAGGCTGGAGTGCAATGGTGTAATCACAGCTCACTGCAGCCTCAACCTCCCAGCCTCAAGTGATCCCCCCAACTCACCCCTCCTGAGAAACTGAGTCCACAGGCATGTGCCACCACATTCAGCATTTTTTTTTTTTTTTTTTTTTTTTGGTAGTGACAAGGTCTCTCTTTGTTGCCTGGGCTAGTCCCGAACTCCTGGGCTCAAGTGATCCTCCCACCTCCACCTCTCAAAGTCTGAGGCTGGGATTACAGGCGTGAGCCACCGCGCCCAGCCTAGATATCATTTCCATTAATAGTATTATTATTGATAGTAGTGGTACTGGCCAGGCATGGTGGCTCACGCCTGTAATCCCAGCAATTTGGGAGGCCCAGGCGGGCGGATCACCTGCAGTCAGGGGTTCAAGTTCAGCCTGGCTGACATGGTGAAACCCCATTTCTACTAAAAATTAGCTGGGCATAGTTGTGAGCACCTGTAATCCCATCTATTTGGGAGGCAGAGGCAGAAGAATCACTTGAATTGGTGAGCTGGAGGTTGCAGTAAGCCAAAATCTCGCCACTGCACTCCAGCCTGGGAGATAAGAATGAGACTCCATCTCCCCTCCCAAAAACTGGTAGTGGTATTATAAATGGTGTTCTTTTAAATGGTCTTCACTGGTGAAATGAAAAGTTGATGATCCTGTCACCACCCAGTTTCATTTTATTAATCTCTAAAATCCCTGTCCCAGTACCTCTGCCCTAACTATGTTCTGTAGATGGCATGGTTGCTCCCCATAAAACAGTGGATCTCAATCCTAAGAAAGGAAGAAAAGATAAGTGTCTTTATCCAGGAAGAGATACTGAGCTCGCTGCCTGGAAGACATCACATATTTTGGGGTTCCACACCCAGAGATCATGCTGTGGAAGTGTAGTGGTGAGGCAGGGGAATGGAGGGTGGAGTGGGAGGAGTTTGGGAGACTGTGGTTTAGTAGAAGAAACACAGACTCTGAGTGGGGCACGATGGCTCACGCCTGTAAACACAGCACTTTGGGAGGCCAAGGCAATTAGATCACCTGAGGTCAGGAGTTCGAGACCAGCCTGGCCAACATGGTGATACCCCATTTCTTTTCTTTGAGACAGAGTCTCTGTCGCCCAGGGTGGAGTGCAGTGGCGCAATCTCAGCTCACTGCAACCTCCAACTCCCGCTTTCAAGTGACTCTCCCGCCTCAGCCTCCCGAATAGCTGGGATTACAGGCAAGCACCACCACATCCAGCTAATTTTTTTGTCGTTTTAGTTGAGATGGGGTTTCACCATGTTGGTCAGGCTGGTCTCGAACTCCTGACCTCATGATCCGCTTCCCTTGGCCTCCCAAAGTGCTGGGATTACAGGCGTGAGCCACCTCGCCCAGCCTAGATATCATTTCTATTTAATACTATTATTATTTATAGTAGTGGTATTGGCCAGGCATGGTGGCTCATGCCTGCGATCCCAGCACTTTGGGAGGCTGAGGCAGGTGGATCACCTGAGGTCAGAAGTCCGAGACCAGCCTGGCCAACATGACAAAACCCCTACTAAAAATACAAAAATTAGCCAGGCATGGTGGCAGGTGCCTGTAATCCCAGCTACCAGGAGGCTGAGACAGGAGAATCTCTTGAACTCAGGAGGCGGAGGTTGGAGTGAGCCGTATCCAGCCTGGGTGAGAAGAGTGAAACTCTGTCTCGATCAATCAGTCAATAAGCAAGCAAGAGGATTGGTGTGGATGCTGTTTTTTCTTATTTTTTTTCCTTACTTTTTTGTGGAGTGTAGATGCTGTTGTTGTTGAGTATGCAAGCTCCAGAGCTTTCGGTATGGATGATGGATGATGGTGACTAGCCTCGGTTCTGCTCACTGGTCTGACTCCCGGAAAGCCCATCACACCAACTGTCATGAACCCTCCGGTGCCACACCAGTTCGGGAACCACAGCCCTGCCCTCCTCCTGGGCCACGGTTGGGAAGCAGTGCTGCTTCTGGAATGGGGGTTAGAAACAGGCCCCACAGTTGCTGCATTTCGTAAGGCAGAGCTTCCATTTCCTTCGTGTCAAGCTTAGGTGGGCAAGGACACCAAGGCCTCTCCTAGGCATCCCCGAGGCCACTGGTGAGAGGGTGACAGGCACATGGTAAGGACCTGATGTGGGAGGGGGAATGGGATTTTTTTTTTTTTTTTTTTTTGAGACAGTTTCAATCTGTCACCCAGGCTGGAGTGCAGTGATGCCATCTTGGCCCACAGCAACCTCCATCTCCCAGGTTCAAGCGATTCTCCTGCCTCAGCCTCCCTAGTAGCTGGAACTACAGGCGCCCGCCACCACACCCAGCTAATTTTTGTATTTTCTTTTTTTTGTGGGGACAGGTTTTTGCTATGTTTCCCAGGCTGGTCTTGAACTCCTGAGTTCAAGGGATCCACCTGCCTCAGCCTCCCAAAGTGCCGGGATTACAAGTTCGAGCTACCATGCCTGGTCAG